GACGGGACGGGGCTGGGATGGGTACAGGGACAGGGACAGGACGGGGACGGAGACGGAGACGGAGACGGAGACGGAGACGGAGACGGAGACGGGGACGGGGACGGGGACGGGGACGGGGACGGGGACGGGGACGGAGACGGGGACGGAGACGGAGACGGAGACGGAGACGGAGACGGAGACGGAGACGGAGACGGAGACGGAGACGGAGACGGAGACGGAGACGGAGACGGAGACGGAGACGGAGACGGAGACGGAGACGGGGAAGGGGACGAAAGCAGTGACAGAGACAGAGATGGAGAAAGAGACATAGACAGACATAGAGACAGATGGAGACGGAGAAGGGCACGGAGACAGGCCGGGACGTGCCAGTGGACTCAGGGTGGAGAGCGACTCCACATCACCCGGCGCGCGTGACTGATGACCTGCTGGCTGGATAAGCGCACCAATCGCCCCGGAGGACACACTCACATAGGCGGATCGACCATCTTGCGACATCAGCTCTGGGACGGCACAATGTTATGATTAATAGCTCGAGCTTTTATGGAGGTTTCAGGCAGCCCTGGATTTTTAATAGCGACTTTTTCGTGTGTCATTTTGCCTCCTGTTTAGCAATGTCGTCATTTCTAAAGCTCCAATCTTATAGAAACATCGCAAAGCAGGCCAGACATCCGCGCTAGGGTATGTGAATCGGAGAGAAGGGCGCTGAGGCGGAGCTGGTTTCAACCGAACTCTGGTATTCCCCGGCCCGACTGGGGTACCCCACAGCCAACATGTGGAGCCACAGTCACAGTATCACAGTTATGTGACTTCCTCTAGCCCGATTGTGGTGCTGCGTGGCACCTCAGCTGACTATGGTATCACCCAGCTGTGACCGATCCACTCGGCGTCACAGTCCATGTGTCGACTGTATGCCATCAAACAGGCCTCCATCCGTTCCAGACGACGGGCGGCCGGTGACCTGGAGAGAGGAGGTGCCGCGCTCTCTGCGACCCAGAGAACGCCGGTCCGCATTCCAGACGCGTCTCCGTGGCGGGAGGGCTCCAGAGGCCTCCTGGGCGGTGGAGCGAGCCGGGAGGAGCTTTACACACATCGGACTGCGTGAATCGGGCGTGGAGAGCTTCATTTCGTATCAGATATCCCGTGGGTCGGGGCTCGGAACCACGAGGTGAGTAGATAATGAGTGGGGATTCGCAAAGGCAGCATCGGCTTCCACACGCACGGCAAAGCCATGGCTGAGAGAAAGAGGAGGAACCAGAGTAACATATCTTTGGGAGTCAGGTTTTATAGAGAAATCAGGAAACTAATTAATTCTTCTTCGTCTTTGCTCTCTTTTTCGTTCTATCCTGTTTTTATTCAAAGTAAATTCAAACTTTATCAAGCTTCTGCTGCACAAGCGGTATCAGCTAAACTTATCGATCATTGCGGCTAAGTGAGCCATATCTTCCGTACCCTCCTGTGAGGTGAACTGGCCCTTACAGAGCAGTCGATGAAGTGAGTTGACCTTTACAGGCTGACTGTCACGCCGGCGGGCCATGACCGGCCAGCCTTGGCAGGAGCACGGCTGACCTCGCGCCGTGCGGTTACGGGCGGCGGCGCGGCTCCAGGCGCTCATGGCCAGACCAACTCCGCTGGGCGGGCGCTCTGAACTCGGTAATGGTGCTGGGATGCGACAAACGCACCGGGAGTCAGTCTGTGTGACCTCAGCTCTCGGACCCGCGACCCCTGCGGCCGTCTCTGGGCGTTTCCTTTCTGCCACTAGTGATTCATTGCTCAGTTCAGACAGTAACAACTAACAGACGATTTCCGGTTCCGGGCGCGTCTGATTCACGGCTGCCATGGGGCAGCACTGGCTGTTCGTAGAACACCCCCGATGGTGAGGGAGGTGTCGGACCGTGCCACCGGGACGGAGGACACAGTGCTCCTCGCGGAGGCCCGGTGAAGTAACGCAGCTGGCCGCGTTACAACACAGCCCCGGAGGCGGCCCGATGCGGCTGCACATTCCGGGCATCGGGCCGCCGTGTCGTCGGCAGTGGAGCGGCACACACCCCATACACGCCGACATACATGATGCACAGCGCTAGCTATATGAGGTCGTACCATTGACCTTCACATACTTATATTCTTCTGAGTCGTGTACTTTTATTCTAATTTAGATTGGTAGGGTGATAGGTTAACTTCTGATTTTGTTGAGTTTAACTAATATTTTATATAGATTGGTCATAATCCAGACTACAAAAAAAGCAACTGACTTGCATGTGCGATAAACGCAGTCCGATGATCGATAATTCAGCAGATTTTTTTTTTTGAAGAATAATTTCTAAACATCCCCTGACCCTACGCAATTCAATGTAATCGCATTGTTTGACAGCGGGATAATCTGATTAGAGCGCTGTGACGGTGGCAGCCCTGATCGACGTCAGACAGCTGTTGGGAGGTCACGGTTGATCAGTTGCTGCAGTTGGCCGACAGTACCTACAGGGCCACTCTTTCAACCCAAACGTCAAGCCCCGCCGCCCTTGCCTGCCCGTCCAGCGCAGCAGTTCATTGCTGATCCTGGTCCACCTCAACATGGTCCCCAAGTGTCCGCTCTGGCCTCCCGTCCACCTGACAGTCCACTGCTGACCCCGGTCCACCTCCCGTCCACCGCTCCGGCCTGCCCCGTCCACCGGCGCAGCTGGAGGCCCCTGACCGAGCAGCGCGAGCCAGGCCGGTGCGGCGCCGCGGGGCAGGGCCGGGCGCACTGGGCTGGAACCGCCGCACCGCCGAGCAGCAAGCTGTGCTGGTGCGGATTGACCAACGCCGGCCGGCCGGCCGACCGACCCGCAATGGCCAGCCAAATTCGAGCGATTCGCCGCGGTAGGCTAACTGGATACGGAGGACGCCACTTTTCACACGATTCCCACTGCCGAGCGATTTTTGGTAGCGCGAAAGTGGTGCGACCGTCCTTGGTTTTGTAACCGAGAAGTAGGTATGGTCGGAATGTCCGCTGCTATTCGATGAAATGCCATTCAAGGTGACAATAATAGCCGACATTCTCAGGTACCGGAAAATTTCCGATCACACTAAGACGAAAATAACCCACAATTCGTGGAACGCACCCATTGACCTAGTTTTGGAGGTGACGCAAAATGCAAGTTGGTAAGGCGCCGACATGCTACTGCAGAAGCGGTGGTCTCCGCAATTAAACTCAACCAATGCCCGACTCGAAACAAACAATTGTGAATGCATCTCACTGAGGCCGCTTTTTGCCTAGCTGTCGAGATAAACATGTGCAAGGCCTCTTATGTAATATGTTCCAATAACGCCTTCGCTCGCCTTGACCAAATGCCTATATCTTAGCTAGCACCAAATACGAATAAGTGAAAGCATCTAAGCAACACACTATAGAGGATTCAAGGGAATCAGCTTTCATGACAATGGGCATCTTCTCACGGTACGAAGAAAATAGACCACTATGTCACGGGACTACCGATCAGGAAGACGGATCTCCGAGAACCCACCGATTACCACCACATCATGTGTAACCCAGCGAGCCACAGGACCGGCAGCCTCTCGTGCACACTGCTCCGAGGCTGACCGGCCGATACTGCACCTCACTGACAGCGGATTGGATAATGGGCCGGCTCATTATCACCTCACGAGCCGGCCGACGGCATCACGATCCGCCTTATATCAGCACAATTACGGCCGGCCGGCCACTAATTCGCTGTCGGGGCCTAATTTAGCACAAGGCCCGCTCTCTCAGACGCAAGGAGTGCGCCAGAGCGCTGCCAGTGAATACCTACACACTCTGCGGAGTTGCGTAACTTCATGACTGGATAGTAAGCTGCTCCGCTAACTACGGTCTGCCAAATGGGTGACTGATAGAGACAGTAATACTGGAGCCAGATGGTACGGATAGGGGTGTGTTGTCAGCGAGAAAATGACCATGAAGATGCATAGTTTTGCAATGCAATGAATGATGCCAAAATGCCACATAGACTGCTTATGACAAGAAGTGCTATTTCTGAGTCTTGTACTAAGGATACAGGCGCTATGTATCCCAGGTTTGTGGATAAAATGTTTGAATTTCGTGGTGAGTCATCTACCATAATGTTCCATTGCGGTAAAAAATGTAATCAGTCATTGTGTGCACATTTTATAATATTGCTAAAGGAACAAGTTTAACATCATCACATATGCTCGTCGGTAAATATAAAATTCAACATTGTTGATAAGTAGGACAGAATGGTCGACAATTAGGTGAACCAGTCATTGTCTTTACAAGGTAAAAACACTAGCACATCGCTGTAATTAGGAAGATTATACCGTATATGCGTACACCTGTTTGGCTCAGAAGACACAGATGACCCAGAAAACAACTATCCCAGTCACGAGAAGGTCCTATCAACCAGAATATGTTACACAGTAATTCCGGCTTGGAGATTACACCACACGCATTTGGCCTAAATTTGAATAACGTAAGACCCAGACGTAAGGTCTGTCCAGAGGCGTGCGTACATTGAAGGCTTGAATGTAGATTGAAGGACCGGACTGGAGCGGTCAGCTGACGGCCTCCCCTCCCTCCTCGGTGGGGGTGGGGGGGGGGGGGGTGACCGCGGCCGACTGCCTGCGGCGATCCCGACCAAGGTCTCCTCTGGGAACTGGCCCCGGTTGGCCGGCCACAACCGGAGCCGCGGACGCCGCATGGCATCACCGTCCAGTTCAGTGAAAAGACGCCACGGGCAGTCCGGCGGAGACGGCTAATTTAGGGCCGGCTGGGAGTCCGCGCACAGCCGTCCCGCTCACCGAGAAATCAGGTGTTTTATCGCTTTGTTTTGTCGTGTGGAGTTCTAACGACACGGCGCACACTCAGCAGGTCACGCATAAACAGAGGAGACGGACGAAATTCATGGAGCTGCGCTCGGTCCCACCAGGGTCACAGGGGGCTCCCCGCCCCGCCCCCTCTACTCTTTCTAGTCACCCGGCAGACCCTACAGCGGCCCTCAGCGCCCGCTTACCTTGTGCAAGTCCAGCGGCGAGCAATCCGAGCAGAAGCACCGTGCTCCGCAGCCACGAGCGTCGCGCGCCGGCTGGCATCATGCAGCCCACAGCTCGGTCGGACGTGCGCGCGCGACAGACACAGCCGCCCCGAGCTGGGACGAACGACAACTGAGCGGTACTCCCGAGGCGCCGGCCGGCCGCCGCTCTGACGTAACGCCGCGCCCCAGAGCGCCAATCACCGAGCCGCTGACGTCACTGCACCAGATCTGACGTCACCTGCGCGGTCGCCCGGTCGACCTTGAGCCAGGTCAGGGGTCGCTGAGGGGTGGGGAGGGAGGGGTCACTAAAAGGTCGCGCAGTTGTTGAGGAAATGTGTTCGAGTGAAGTGATATCGCTATGGACAACCCACTGACTGCGTTGGTAAGGCGAGTAATGTCTATCACCGTCATGCCATTACAATTTGCATTTATAATTAATTGATTGAGCAGTAACCATAGGTATTATCAATAAATAGTAAAGCACTTCCCTATCCTATATTTAAAAATATAAATGATGAGAGCGACTATACCAGTCTTTTATCTTAAGAAATAAAAGACAAAATGGCCCTCGCACAAGTAACGGCAGCCTCAACTACGAAAGGTAACGTTAATTCACAGTAGTCATTAACAGGGGCGTCGCCACGGATTTTTGACTGGGGGGGGGACGGATTGGCTGACTAAAAACCGAGAAGTTGGTTACTTCTGGGTACATCTTCTACATACCTACCTACGTTTTCAGGTCTTTGTAACGCATACACATCACACATGTTCTTTCCGCGTGGAGGCGTTAATAGTCACAATATGTCTTTGGCGGCGCGAAGCGCCGCGAAAATTTGCAAAAACGCCTGGCAAAACAGCTCCAAAACACATTAATTTTGCATCCCGTATAATAAGTTTGATACCAAAAAAGCTAAGGTCTGGTCACCAAGTCAAGCAGCCCTTCCTCTAGGTTTTCTGTCAACCGTATACAGCTTATTTCCAAGAACTTGGAAACTTTATGCAGTGTTACTGCTGGAGTGCGAGGTCGGAGTCAACTTCGATCATAGTCGACGGCTTTGGTCGGAGTTGGAGTTGAAGTCACCAAAATCGTAACGGACTTCGACTCTGAAGTCTGAGTCAACATTCTCTGGTTTTAAGTCATGCTCATGGCTGGTAAGTCGAAATATCTAAGGCCCGTTTGCGTCCAGTCGTGTTATACGGCACACGTGGAAGACGCGTACCTATAAAAAATCAATAGTTGCCCGAGGATGGGTCGGCTAAGAGCTACATAGATTCTGTTGGCTGTGTTGATTATATGAGCCATACTCAGGCCAACGTATGTAGGCCCACACTGAGTACTACTCGTAAAGCCTGGGTCCTCTCATATCTGGAAGAGGTCCTCTCAAACTCAAGCATTAAGCGTTCAAAGGCCATGGTGAGACCTTCTACTGTCGGATGGTCTCGAACGAGAATAGGGCCGTTTGAGAGTGAGCTGAGGGTCTTGACTATTGCGAATATCCTGTAATGTATGGTTTCTGCAAGCTGTCACCTCACCTGGATAATTTTGGACCGATCTTCAGTCCTCGTTGGATGTGGTCGCCCCTATACCTAGCTGGAGCTTTGACTCCCTATCGAGGACTTCGGACGGACAGTCTAGACGAGCTGCACCTCATCATGGGTAATGTATTCTTTAAATGTGCCAAGAAACGCTCAGTGAAATAAAAGATCACATCTCATCACAAGTTTTTCACTCCAATGCGGGCTGAGGGATGCCGTGGTCGGAGATGGGATTGAAGTCAGACTACGAGCGATTTTTTGAAGCCGGAGTCGGAGTTATCAAAAATCAATATATACTCCGCAGCCATGCAAGGGTATACATGCAAGGGTCCGAACCAGCAATACATATGATTCAATTTGTGTATCTGCAATTTCATTTCAAAACAATTCAATAGGCCAATTTCATAGGTCACTTTTTCATCATTAATGGGGATATTTTTGCGGGGGACGTCCCCCCCGGATTTCTCGTCTGGGGGGGACGCGTCCCCCCCGTCCCCCCCGGTTTCGACGCCCATGGTCATTAAAGAATAAAGACCATTCAGTTGATGTGAAGAATGCAGTGGCATTGGCAACATTAACCCGCGCCCCAGTGGCGGTCTCAGCCAACTTCGCCCTATTAAGGGGGGGGGGGCATATGTTACCACCCACCTCTAACTCAAAAACTGAGAGGGCTAGAAAGACGCGGTAAAAAGCAGTAGATAGCTCTCAATGCGTACGTTTGAAAGTATTTCGGTCAATTTTCACCTTAGAGCAATATTGGGGTCACCAGAGGTCATCAAAGGTCAAAATTTGCCAATTGTCATTATATTTTTCAGAAAACATGCCGCTATCTCATGGGAACTATGGTAGCTAGAAAAACGCATGAAAAAGCAATCGATAGCTTTTGAACTCTTCTTTTGAAAAGGTCATATCAATATTGACCTCAGGTCAACGGTTTAGCCTCCAGAGGGCAAAAACTCCAAAAATAGCTGTTTTTACGAAAAGTGTTTTTCGACAATTACTTTCGACTACAAAAAGCCACGGCATTTATATTGCCAGAATCGTGTTCCCCTCGCCGAGACGCGTCGAATGAACTATAAATTGACCTTGAAAGGTCAACTTGAAAATTTGACCTCAGGTCAAGGTCATGACCTTACCGGAAAAGGTCATGTTGCATATCAGTCGATGCGTCTCAACAAGACAAACACAATGAGACCATCCCCAGCGTTCTATTTCTTTCCAATCGTGAGTTATTGGCAAAAAACTGTTTGTAGCCTCAAGTGACCTCGGATGACCTGTCTAGAGGCTATCAGCAAAAATGACACCTTGGTCATCACGAGTGGACTAAATTATTGTGGTTCTGAAATATTTGGACTGATCCGATGCGTACACACGGATCTAGTGGCATTTTCATTTTTCTCCATTGACTTGTAATGGAAAGGTCATGCCACTGACCTGACCTTAGGTCACGGATATAAAAAATCCGAGATATACAAATTGTAGGTGCCTATAACGGCATGCAATCCACCAAGTTTAAAACCTTTCTGACAAACACTGCAGGCTGGACATGATTGCAAACTTTTTTTAGGATTGGTCAGTTAACTTGACCTGGTGACCTGATCTGACATGACCTGGGGTCAAAAATTTCACACATTGTCTAAAATTGATGTAACAAAAGCTACCCCAAGCGGCGCGGCGCTACGCGCCGCGGTTTTTATTCATACGCGAAAAAACGCGACAGGGTGGTAACATATGCCCCCCCCCACTGGGGCGAAGGTTAAAGAGACCAAACGAGTGAGGTGCAGTTATTCTAACAACAAAGGGAAGGAAGATGAAAATAAACCATAAAGAAGAAAAGGAAACAGAACAAGATACTAATATATTGTTTACACATTATCCTAAGAACGTTCATTGTTAAAAATAGAAGATTTTCTCTCTGGAAAAACTTTAACAGCATGCATATTTTTTGCTTGAATTAAAGTATGTAAAGCGCGATGTAATCAACATCATCAATAGGTTAGCCCATGCTACGTGCGCCCTATCACTTAAGTATAAATTATACGTGACAAAATGCCCAAATCATTGGAGTGACATATTTCATCAACCTCTCTCCGAGCATGGGTCATCTGGACTGGTCACGCTCCAACCAGTCTTCGGCTGGTCGGGTTCCTTGAATGGCAGTGAGCTCGTCACTTCTCCAGATCTTACTTCTGCTCATCATCGCTCAAAAGCCACGTCATTTCTCAATGTCTTGTACATTTTGCATCTTACTGTAAGATGTAATCATCTTAGGAAGAATGAAGGATCGAGTAGAGGAGGCCTTAATTAGGATAAAGGGGTGATATTTAACATGTACATGTAATGTGTATGGTGTAATGAGGATAACTTTTCGCAAGATTGCTGTACGTGATCTATTTTTTTTTTTTTGGAAATGATAACCTCGTCTGCGAATTACAAGACGTCAGACACCCAGTACCAACGAGGAAGCGAAATTATCAGCCCTTCACGTGCGCACGTGCAACTTAGACCCAAGTACGGACCACCTAACTACTTAGCTGCACCCTACGAGTGTGCCGCTGCCAACTTTGGGTGCAATAGTCCCAGAGAAACGGCTTAGGCGTCCTTGGGATGTACTAGGTCGTTCAGTAAGTAAGGTAAAATGTACCATAGTTTATTTATATGAAGAATTCAAGCAAAATGAGATATGTCATCTGAATCTGTGAAGAAAATTCTACACACCTTCGAAGCTCTTTTATGAGTTAACCCGCGCGGGGCTGGGGGGGGGTAAATTTTACCCCCCTCGCGAATTTTTGCAATATCTCAAAAACGGCGGCGCGCAGCGCCACCAAACTTTCAGTACCTTTTTTACATCAATTTGACACGTTCTCTGAAAATTTGAGTGAAATCCGTTGGAAAATTTTTGAGAAATTGACGTTTTAGTGACGTCATGTTCGCCATTTTCGCCTCAAAAACGGCAAAATTTCAAACGCCGCTAACATCTTCATCTTTAAAGGAATCAAGACGTAACAAAAAGGTTATACGTAATTCTACTTTGTCTATCAAATGGCTATCTCGGTTTTTGAAAATTTTGGATTTTGGCCCAAATTTTTACTTCAAAAAACTGACTTTTTTGGGAAAATGATTATAAAATCCAAAATTTTGAGTATATCGAAAAAAACGGAATATATGTCAGAGAAGTGGTCTATGTGCACCTAGGGGAGACCCGGGAGGTATGGCCCGGTTTTGTGAAAAGGCAATTTTCTTCCACTGGGCAATGGCTAGACCCGGTTTTTCACTCTGTGCACGTGAAATTGCCTTTCGCCTGCGAAGTGTGCCTGGTATTCCGTATTAGGCATCTGGGATCAACTATTTTGTCTCGAGATAGCTTTCAATAAAAATGTGCTTTTTCAATCCATCAAAAAACACCGGGAGGTATGGGCCATGACCCGGGAGGCATGGGCCGGTGCCATGTTTCATATCCTTTTCTCGACAATGAGAACAATACTCGAAGCTGGTATCTACCTTGATCTCTCTTAGAGCCCAGGAACCGCATAAGCGGCCAACAGCTTGCTTTATGTAGGTCATTTGGGCACAAATGTATTTTGGTAAACTCAATCATGCACCATGAAATAAAATAAATAATATTTTT